AACGTTATGGAACACATTAATTAACTGAAAAATGTTGCATAGTGTGCCTTTAAGCCACTTGGTAAAAAAATGTGTCAGGAAAGATCTACTGCACCTTTAATCTCTATTTTTGGGCCAATCTGTGGAAGTCACACCTGAGTTTCCGAATTAGCGGTGAAATGGTGTTTTAAAAGGTGCAGTGAGGTCATCTGTGTGAATCTAGGCTGATATCGGGTCATGCTGGGAATGTCGTCAATCGCAGCAGAAAAGCTGATTAATGTGGTGCAACGGCTCAAAGGTCCGACCTCAGCCTGATTAAAAGGTTGCTGCAGGAGCAAATGTTGATGACCTTTTCGAATCGAACCAGGTTCCGCTTCATCACTGCTGAACGTTTGCTTCTCGTCTTCGTTATCGACCTCAGATTTCTTCTTCTAACCCTTTTTGTTTGTTTGTGCTGCAGCCAAACAGGTGGAGTACATGATCAAAGAGAAGCACGTGTACCTGATGGCCAGCGGCCGCATCAACATGTGCGGCCTCACCTCCAAGAACATCGACTACGTCTCCCAGGCTATCCACGACGCCGTCACTAAAGTCCAGTAGAAGGGGCTCCTGTCCACACTCCCTCTGGTTACTGTATCCACAGGAAGCAGCGTCGCCTCTCTGCTCCAAACCTGCTTCTCCTCTCCTTCTGATGGGGACTCCTGTTTCCTTTCTCTCTTTACGGTTTTAAATCTCAACGGTATTTAAACACAGCAAATTTCTCAGTCAGCAGAACTCTAATTGAATGTTACAGTCAAAATATAGTCTATCATCTTGAATAATTTAGCTTAAAGTTTGATCAGTTTGAAACTGAATAAGAATAGAAAGTTACTGCGCTTCCTCTGTAAAGATAATGAACAAAACGCAGACGATAAACGTTAAAGTCTGACTACTTCCTGCTTATGCACTGAATTAAAACTAGATAAAAAGGACAAATGATGAAGAAAATTATTATTTTCTTATTTTAAAATATAAAAATTACAGAATATTTTAGCATGTGTGGCTCTGTGTGCTGCAGCAGCACATTTTTAGGATCCGTCTCTGGGGTCTTTGGTTGTACCTTTATTGATTACTAATAAGGAACTGTGAGACGCACAAATGCTTTTTTTTCCTGTTTGTTTTGGTTTTGAGACGGGCATTAGGAGTTCAGCGGTTCTCCCGTCTGCTGTAACTGGATGGGGAAAAGGAACGCTGCTGTCTGGTTTTGGTTTGACCCTTTTAGCTTCGTTTTTGTTCCTTTGTGTGCCATCAGCGGAGAAACACGACCTGCCTCCTCACCGTTCGTTTCTTCTTCTGTGCCCTTCATCGTTTTACAGGAAATGTAAAGTAAAAGAGCCTGTTTTTGTCACAGACATGCTCCCATGTTGTGCTGATGTTTGTGATGGTATGTTGCAATATGTTCATGCAAAAATAAATTATTAACCACATAAAATGACATTTTACTTTTTATTGAGTGTTTTATTGATCCTAAGAAAGCAGCAGAGCTTACTGGGTAAGCAGGAAGTGATGGTTGGGAGAACATCTCAAACAAAACACGCTTCCCATTTGAGCTCCAACAGAAAAGTTATTATTATAAAGACAGAAAGTAAATGCTTTCTATCATGGCTGCCTAAATACCTCATTAAAGATTCAAGGTTTTGTTGAACCAGTTCCTACAAACATGCTGGCTGTCCATGCAGGGGGGGCAACAAACTGAACTAAACTGCATTTTTTTTTTAGTAATAATGACAACTGGTCCCTGTTTATTCACTGCATTGCTGATAGGGCGTTGGTAATACATGGTGCTGGCAGCCATATTGGTACTCCCTAGTTAGACCAGTTGCAATGTAAACAATACATACGCTACAGCATTGAACAGTGATGATGATCTCATGTTCAGGAGGGCTTAAGACTTGGAGATAAAGTTATAACTTTGACACACACTTGCTGTTTCATAGCATCTGTAAATTATGGTAATTTATGTTAAAAAAGCAGGCACATCACTGCATATTCAGAATGAAGTCTATAAATCATGTAAGTTAACATAAAAAATCCAAAACAAAGTTAGTGTGGTAATGCAGCATTATTCTGTAGTTATATATATATATATATATATATATATACACTCACCGGCCACTTTATTAGGTACCCCATGCTAGTAACGGGTTGGACCCCCTTTTGCCTTCAGAACTGCCTCAATTCTTGGTGGCATAGATTCAACACGGTGCTGGAAGCATTCCTCAG